CCCCCCACCTGGCTATAACCTCCTGTCAGGAAGTTGTAGAGTGAGGAGGTCTCCCCTGAGCCTCCTCTTCTCCAGGTTGAAGAGCCCCAACTCCCTCAGCCTCTCCTCATAGGACTTGTGCTTGAGTCCCTTCACCAGCCTAGTTGCCCTCCTCTGGACCTGCTCCAGGACCTCAACATCCTTCCTGACTCGAGAGGTCTGGAGACACACAGTCCATAATGCTGCTGCTTCCCTTGAGAACGCACGCAGGATCACCATCGAAAAGACAACGCAGGAAGAATCGTATCCTGCCGATACCCTCCCGGGAGTCTTTCTGTTGTGCCTTTTGCAACCCATCTTGTCTATCTCGCATTGGCCTCTTTAGCCACCAGAGCACTTGTAGCAAATGTGGGTAGAGCCCTTCCCAAATCTTTGTTCGTGCAGCCTAGCCCCGAATGTAATATAATAACATAAAATATAATATTATATAATATAATGTAGCTCTTACAATAGTTATTAATAGAAAAGTATTTGTATCATAATTGTTTTTATATTATTATATTATAACTACATTTCACTATATACTCTATAATTATTAGATTATTATATTTTAATATATAACATATAACCTTTTTTAGATATTTTGGAAATATAACATTAGAATTGATAACTCTAATTATAGATTACATAGACATACTCTAGATAGCATACATATACTTATTATATATAAGGCATTTAAGAATACATACACAATTACATAATACATAGACAATATTATAGGAGAGTCTAAGAGAGATCAAGGCGTCTTTTCTCTGCTAATCAGCACTGAGGATATAATGAGTACCAGAATGATCTTCATAGTTCACCACTATGCTTTCAAAGTTGTTTAATAACAAGAGGTGGTGTTGAAAAAAATAAAAAGAAAAGAAAAAACCAACATTTGAGTGATGTGCCTCATTTCATTGAGTTACAAATATTTAGAGCCCAGGACTTGAATGTTCAGTTTATTTCGACATTCCAGGCAATAACAGCTGTGAAGCTGTGAAGTGGGAAGGGACCCACAAGGATCAGCGAGTCCAACCCTCAGCCCTGCGCAGGCCCATCCCCAAGGGTCACAGCCTGTGCCCCAGAGGATCATCCAAACTCTCCAGGGCCCTTTCCCGGCTCTGCTTTCCAGCCTCTCCCTCCCCGCTCTGTCCGTCCATCCCTGGAACACAATCTGGCACTTTCCAAGGTTGAACTTCCTACGGTTGCTGGTTGCCCAGGCCTGTAATTTGTCAGGGTCTCTCTGCAGGGCCTCCCTGCTTTCCAGGCACTCAACAGCTCCTCCCAGTTTTGGACTGTCTGCAAAGTCCCTTTGTATCTGTCCCAGTGCTGCATCCGAGTCATTGCTGAAGACGCTGAGGAGCGCAGGGCCTGAGATGGAGCCCTGCAGAACCCCAGCGTGTCAGGCTACATTTTTAGGCGGGATGAAAATTTCCCTCTCTCCTCTTCTCCTCCCCCGGCCGTGCACGGGTGAGAAAGCCCAGCCAGAGATGAGGGAACGCTTTGCCTATCCCAGGTTGGGAAGCCATTTCCGGCGCTTCCTAAGAAAAGCCCCTCTGCTTTGCTCAGGAAGGCACTCTGGGCCCAAGGAAGGCTGAGAGAGGAAGATTTCCTTAGTCAGAGCGCATGTACTTTTCCCCTCCCTAAAGCCCATTTTCCCGATTGCCGCAGCCCTTCAAAGTCCAAGGAAGCTGTAACTTCCTCCTTCCTCTTCCCAGACCGCCAACTGGGAAGGCAAGCAAAACACCTCCTTCCTGGCAACTGGGAGATCTGCATTAAATCCTGTCTTCTAGAGAGGGTCCCTTTGAAGTCAGAAGCGAAGCACGCTCAGGATGGACAGACTCTCTGAAGCGTTACAAGACTTTATTAAAAGGATGTGACCTTGTCCCCTCCCCCCCTCTGGTTTTCCCCCAAAGAGTCCGTAACTTGGCCAAATTGGCTTGGGTTTGGCAAAAGCCACAACGTCACATCCCAAATTCCACCAGAGACAGTTTCTCCAAGGATGGCTAGAGAACCGGGGAGGAAAAAGGACGTCTCTCCTTCCGTTTTGGGCTCCACTGGGAGTTTGCTCGGTGTGCAGATTCTTTCCCTAAAGAAGCCGAGCCAGAAAACGTCAGGTCCAGTAGCTGACGTTGAGCAGGACCACAAGGATTTGAAAGCCTAATTTTCGAAGAGAACTTTCCAGGGAGCCTTGGAAATCGTCATCCTAAAGAGAAAAAGCAAATACGGAGTTGGAAGGCAAGAGGTTCTCAGGTTGTGGATAGACCCAGCAATTGGGGTGAGCAGACACAGGTGCCCGGGAGCCTGTGAGATGAGCCAGGGGTCCCACTGTGTGTCATTAACAAAGGCATAACCAGGACCCGGTTCCCGAGGCAGAGGCCTGAGGGACACCACTGCTGCCTGGCTTCCAGCTGGACATGGAGCCACGGAGCACAAGTGTCTGGGGTGTCCACGCGGACAACTCCTCATGCTCTGGAGAGCGCAGCCTTCAAGGCCCGGGCTGTCCAGCTGGGAGATGAGGGTGTGGTGTGGGGCTGTGTGGCAAGCCTGCCAGGAGTCTGGGCACAGCAGGGCTCCAAGTCTAGAAGTGGAGGGTCTGTCCCCTGGGGGCACAGTCCCTTGCAGCCAATTCCAGAGGTTTCTACTGTGCCAGGGGTGGTGGGTGTGGTGGCCCTTTGTGACAGAGGCACTTTGCAAGGGCCCTTTGTGATGCGGGGCCAGGTCTGCCCAGAGGCCACTGTGAGCTCACAGGGCCCCGCCCTGAGCGTTGGGGATTGAGGGAGCGCTGGGCCCTGGGGGGGTGCCCAGTCCAGGAGAGCCGCTCTCTCAGGAGGAAGCAGTTCCCTGGATCCCTCTGCAGAAGAGGACGACGGAGATTGCGATGGAGGAGAAGAGGAAGAGCAACTCTCAGCCCCAGCAGGGGCTGCCCAACCTGAACAGGAGGCGCCCGGAGAGGGATGGGGGAGCTGGGAGAGGCCGGGAGTGGGACAGGCCCAGCCGCAGCTCCCTGGCTGCCGAGGCCAGCCTTGGTGCTGTGCCAAGGCAGCCACCTCCACACCACCAGACCTTTTTCCCACAGGTGATGCGCAGGCAGACACAGGTAGCGCCGCGGGGCAGCCAGAGCCAGGCCTTGCCCCTGCGAGGGGAAAGGCTGCCACGGCTGCCCTGCCCCGAGAGCTCCCAGGACAGCGGGAGCACTGGGACACAGACTGGAAGACGGGGGGAGGTGGCAGCAAAGCTCTTGCCAAGCAGAGCAGCTGCTGCCAGGCAGGTGGGAGGCCCGGGCAGGAGGCTGGGGCAAGGGATGCAGTCAGGTAAGCTCCCTCTCGGGCCTCCCCTGCTGCCAAGGAGCCCAGTGCAAGGGCTGTCAGTGCCCCGCTCTGGGCTGAGCCAGGAGGAGACAGTGCGTCTGCCATCAATCCCGCTGGCGGCCCCACGGCACAGCCAGGCTGCCTGTGGCCCCTGCAAACTGCCTCCTCTGCCCCCAGCAGCCTGGGCTGCTGCTGCCAGGCGCAGGACAGCCAGCATGGCCACGGCCAGCAGCAGCCACCTCCCCCCTGTGCCTATTGCTCGGGGCGACCGCGCTGAGCAGGGCACAGCCCCCAGGCTGCAAAGTTTGAGGGCTGCCCCGCGCCGTCCCCAAGGCCAGGACGCAGCGGGGAAGCCCAGGAGCCGTGTGCCTGGGCCAGACACGTCCCCGAAGGGCTGCCCTGGCAGCCAGACGCCCAGGCAGCAGGCACCAGCACAAGGGGAGCGGGCACTCAGCAGGCCCGGCTCCCCTTCCCTGGGCAGGGAGGCAGGGAGCGGGCGGGAGAGACCAATGTCCCAGCAGGGCCCAGCACTGCAGGGGGTGCCCATGAAACACAGCCTCCCCAGCACAGCTCTGCCGCTGCAAGACGAGAGCGGCAAGGATGTGACCGCTGTGCCCAAGAGTGAAGGCTCAGCCCAGCTGAAGGTAAGGAGCCAGGGAGGCCACTCCACAGCCCAGGACGCAGGTGGGAAGGCCAGGAGCCGGCTCCCTGAGCCAGCCGTCTCCCGCAAGAGCTACCCTGGCAGCCAGAGACCCGGGCAGCAGCCGGCAGCACAGCGGGGCCGCGCCCTCAGCCTGCCCGTGTCAGCTTCCCTGGGCAGCCAGGCAGGGCCACAGCAGCAGAGGCAAGCGGCAGAGCAGGAGCCGGCAGTGCAGGGGGTGCGCAAGAAGCACAGCCTGAGCAGCACAGCTCTGCCAGGCCAAGAGAGGCCCAGGAAGCGTCGCAGTGTCCTTGCTGAGACCGAGCGCTGCCAGAAGCTGAAGACATGGAGGCTGGTGTGCCACTGCATGGCCCAGGACGCGGCTGTGAAGCCCAGGGGCCTGGTCAGGGTGCGAGTGGTGTCCCCCGAGATCTCCCCGGGGAGCCCCAGGCCCAGCCAGCAGCTGGCCCCACAATGTTGCCGGGCACGCAGCCTGCCCGTGGCAGCTTCCCTGGGCAGGGAGGCAGGGCCAGAGCCCAGGAGAAGAGCGTCAGAGCAAGGCCCAGCACTGCCCAGGCTCCCCAGGAGACGCACCCTCAGCAGCCCAGCTGTGCCGCTGCAACACCAACCCGCCAAGGATGGGAGCCTTGTGCCCCAGACTGAGCCTGGGCAGCAGCGGCAGGAGAGGCGGCGCGCCAGTGCCGAGGGCAGAGCGCTTCCACTGAGCAAGGCCAGCCTGCAGCTTCTGGGGGAAATCTCCAGCCATCAGAAGGTGCTGGAGTGGCTGCAAGCAACTTTCCCCGACACCGGTGGGGCCTCGGCCGAGCAACAGGAAGAGCAGCAAGGTGATGGACAGCAAGAGTTCGGCCAAGGGGAAGGTGTCACTGCCCAAAGGCTGTGCCAAGAGGAAAGGAAGGCAGAGCAAGAGCTGTCCAAAAGGGAAGACGGCAAGGACCAAGAGCTTTCCAAAGGGGAGGATGAGAGGGAGCAAGAGCTGTCCCGAGTGGAAACCAGCAATAGCAGAGGCGTGGTGCAAGGAGATGATGAGAAGGAGGAAGACGTGTGCCAAGGGGAAGAGGAGAAGAAAGAAGAGCCGTGCCAAGGGGAAGAGGAGAAGAAGGAGGAGCTGTGTGAAGAGGACGATGGCAAGAAGCAAGAGCAGTCTGAAGGGGAAGGTGACATCAGCTGCAACATCGGGGACAAGCCCTTAGGCCCGGTGAACGAGGGGGTCCCTGGCACTTCTCCCCAGCAGCTGCCCAGCTGTCCCAGCACTGTGGGCACAGAGGCAGCAGCAGAGGCAGCTGGTGACCTGCCCAGCACGTCTCCTGCCCCCGCTGGTGCCACGGCCTCTGAGGCAGCAGGTGCTGAGCTGGCCAGAGCTGCTGAGGCAGAGGAGCAGCGTGCAGCTCTTGCTGCCCAGGCCCAAGAGGCGTCAACGGCAGCAGCTTCTCCTGCCTGTGGCGAGGAGCTGAGAGCTGCAGGCCAAGAGAGCCAGGCAGCTGCCCCAGCCAGCCCCTGCTGCCCATCCAGCCCCTTGGGCAGCTTGCTGGAAGCCCATGGCCTGCGTGAGCAGGGGGCAGGGACAGTGGGTGTGTCAGTCCTTGCAGGGCCAGAGAGCCAGGAGGGGGCCTTGAGCATGGAAGAGGAGGAGCGGAAAGACAACATGGATCAAGAGCTGTGGCTGTGCCAAGGGCAAGGTGACAGAGATGTGTCACAAGTTAGGGACAAGATGGAGCAAGAAGTGCCCCAAGTGGAGGAGAGGACAGAGCTGGAAGGGTCCCCCGTGGAAGACGGCAGAGCCCCCAGGTTGAGTAGTCCTGCAGAGAGGCTCCCTGTGCCTGCCCCTGAGCAGGCCCCGGCATTTGACCAGCACAGCCAGGTGCCAGGGCAGGCCTTGGCCAGGCCAACGGAAGGCCGTGGCCTCAGCGAGCAGGGGGCTGTCCCCCAGCCAGGGCCCTCCTGCTTCAGGCGGGCGCTGCGGGCTCTGCGCAGGCTGTTCCGCTGGCCCCGCAGGGCGGCACGGCCACAGCACCAGCGCCCCACTGCCAGCGCCAGGCCTCCACTTGCCACCTCACAGCCCTCATCTTAGACAGCTGAAGGCAAGGGGCTGATCTCCACCTCAGTGCTGAGAAGCTCGGGCTGTCTCTGAAGCTTGGCAGGAAGGAGGACAAGGACAAGACACTCCACTCTGTGCTCCTGCCCATCAGGAGAAGACACATCCTTGGCACAGCTCTTGACAGGCACCTCTTCTCCCTGTGCTGCTCATCCAATGCAGGAGAATAGGAACCTGTCAAACACATCTTCAGCATCAACAGAAACAGCATGTATAATATAATATAATGTCATATAATATAATATCATCCAATATAATATAATACAAGGACTCTTTGAAGCAACACCTCAACCTTGGCCACATTGATCATCATCGCAGGTCTACCCCGACCTCCAATCACAGAATCATAGAATCAGCTGGGTTGGAAGGGACCTCCGAGATCATCAAGTCCAACCCTTGATCCCACTACTGCTGCGTTTGCCAGACCATGGCATTGATGCCACATCCAGTCCCATCTTAAAAACCTCTGGGGACGGAGAATCCACCTGAGCAGCCCATTGCAATGGCTGACCGCCCGCTCTGGAAAGAAATTCTTTCTAATATGTAACCTAAAGCTCCCCTGGCACAACTTAAGACCATGCTCTCTTGTCTTGTTCATAGTTGCCTGGGAAAAAAGACCACCCCCCACCTGGCTATAACCTCCTGTCAGGAAGTTGTAGAGTGAGGAGGTCTCCCCTGAGCCTCCTCTTCTCCAGGTTGAAGAGCCCCAACTCCCTCAGCCTCTCCTCATAGGACTTGTGCTTGAGTCCCTTCACCAGCCTAGTTGCCCTCCTCTGGACCTGCTCCAGGACCTCAACATCCTTCCTGACTCGAGAGGTCTGGAGACACACAGTCCATAATGCTGCTGCTTCCCTTGAGAACGCACGCAGGATCACCATCGAAAAGACAACGCAGGAAGAATCGTATCCTGCCGATACCCTCCCGGGAGTCTTTCTGTTGTGCCTTTTGCAACCCATCTTGTCTATCTCGCATTGGCCTCTTTAGCCACCAGAGCACTTGTAGCAAATGTGGGTAGAG